CTGGTGTCCAGCTGAGGTTAAACCACCACACTTGCACTTGGTGCCCCCAGTCGCTCTGTGTCCCTTGGATTCAGGGCAGGTGTTTATTCCTTTCCTCCCTGCAGAGCTCTCCCATTTCCTCCTGCCTGCCAGCCAGCTGCAAAGACAAAAAAAGAAAAAAACAAACCATCATGCTCCCAGCCAGAATGATCTGCACCAATGGTGCAGATGCCACTATTGTTCGAACGTAGCTGGCTCATGTAGCCTTGCGACCACACTCAGTGCTGCCCAGGGCATCCCATTCCTACCCTAGGGCTGGGACACCAGCTGCTGCAGCTGGGGAGAGCAAAGCAGCAATGACTGAATGTGATCCCCGTTGCAGCAGTGAGAAGGCTGGCTGGAGGCTCTGGACCAGAGCTGAGCCATATGGGTCAGGTGCATGGGGCCGGGAAAAGGCAGTCCTGCCTCCTGCTCCAGACCCTGCACCAAAGCCTCATGCATGGGAACAGCTGTGGAAGGGCAAGCATCATATATAGGGCCTGGCCAAAAAAGGGCACTTCTTCCACAGGTCATTGGTCCACAGTACTGCCACATTGCTCCTTTTCCTCATGTTTCATGTCTTTGGCCTTCGCTCCAGAGTTGTGTGGTTTTGCTGGGTATCTAAGTGAGCATGTTAAAAAGAAGTAAAAACTCCATATTATGGAGAGGGGAATGACTCACTTCCATGGACTCCAGACTAAAAAAAAAGGAGAAAAAAAAAAGGAAGCCAAATGGATTGGGAAATATTATTTTAGGTCATTTTTGTTACCTTGGCATATCCATTCTCTTTCTGAGACAATGGAAGTAATTCGCCCTGTGATTTGACTTGCTCTTGGCTTGGGATACATCTCCATCTGTGAGACATTTCTCAACCCCGCTGTTTGCCAGTAGCTGGCATGTCCTGGCTTGCCCTGGCCACCAGCTTCCCTCATGCCTGCTGCTGCGGCCAGCTCATGTGGGTGGGGGACAAGCTGACTTACTGTGCAAATAAAGGGGATGAGAGGCTGCCCAGCTGGATGAGTACAAGTCTTCCCTATTACCCTCAGATGTAAGCTAGTGCCACCCACTACCACCCAGGGACTTGCCCTGCACACTCAGCTTGTGTAGAGACAGCTCTGCTCAAAATGCCTCAGGGCTGCCCACATCTCCTGAAAACCTCCCATGTGGCTCCCATCAGCCACCAAGTAACCCCTGGTCATAGGGTTCAGCTGCACCTGGGCCATTCACAGCTGTCTTCACTTGTCAGCCGGAAGGAGGGAGGGAAGAAAGAGGAGCAGGAAGAAGGAGGACAGACAAATGAACAAACAAACAAATGAGGCTGCATTTGGTAGTGGCTTCCAGCAGCTAGAGCCAGAGTAGCTGACAGTCACCGTGGGAGAGGCTCACAATGTCCTCTACAACTTCCACCGCCTCTTTGCCCAGTGGCCTGGCTGTCCTTAGAACTTTCCCAGATGTGCTCTTCATTCCTGAAATTGTGAGTGCTGTTTTTTTCCTTGGGGAGGGCAGATGCTGCTTGTGGGGCATCCAGCACGCTTCATGCTGCAGGTGTCTGAGGGGTGAGACTTGACACAAAGCATGCAATTCAGTAGCCGTGCCAGGTCCCTGAGCTACGAGGGTCTGGGAACAGCCCCTGATGCTTAGCCTGCCCTCAGAGAAAACCACAACCCCTGAGCTGGGGCTCTGAAACTCTCCTTTAGCCTGCAGGGGATTTTTGGGGTGCCTTTGAAAACCTTTTGTAATTTCCTGCCAAACAAACTTGAAGGAGTTGCTAGTGAGTTTAAACTAGGTTGCCAAATTAAGTCAATTAATTAATTGGAAGATGATTTTTAACAGCTAATACAGGCAGAGGATAAACTGCTTGCTTAAAGCAGAGGGTAAAGGCTAGCTGATGTAATTTTTTGCAGTAGCAAAGAGCCTAGGCTGTCAAAGCTGTACAGCTCAGTTGAAACATTCCTGAGCTGGAGGGGCAGACTGCTGGACCTGGGTGCATGGCAATAGTGGGTGAACAAAGGATGAACAAACACCTTGTAACTTCTTCCTGTATTTTAATTTCATTGAGTGGGAAATCATAATCTTAATGTATTTGGCACAGGTGATTAAAAGCAGTTGCTGTGAGCACTGACTAAACGATGGAAAGGTTCAACAAGAACCTTTTTCATGTGTCCTCTGCTCCCACCTGTGAAACTTGCTCTTCTCACAACAGTTTGAGGGTCAAAGCCTGAGCACTTTCATCCAGCATTGACAGGTTTGGCTGAATGTTGTAGGATGGCACTCAGATTATCTCATGCTAAAAACCTTCAACTTTGCCATCTGGGACCAAATCCTTTCCTGTCACACAACTCGGTCCACACTCCTGTGATTTACAGCATTTACTTCATTCTCCTAGTGGTAGCAATCAAGCAAAGAGGAATTGCAACCATTACTGATGTGTGGAGAAAGGCTTTGCTTTAGCTCCTCCAAATATGCTCTGGGGACTTGGTCCCTGTGCCCAGGCCCTGAAAGCCAAGTCCAGGTTTCCTGCAGCTGCATGAAGGATGGTGAAAAGTCCCTGTGGAGGTTCTGGCTGGGCAGACATTTGCGAGCCACCCCTGCCACTGGGTTGTGTTAGTCCTGGTGCTGAGCATGCTGTTGGCCTCGGCATGCTTACAGTACCGACTGTGCCTTCAGCTATTTGTTTGTAATTACTGACTACAGGGGATTTGGTAAGGCATCTTGCTTAATGAGACAAAACCAAGCACCCCATCCTTTGGTTTGGGTAAGATCTGGAAATATGCATCCTAAAGGTTTTAGGAACCATCTGGAGAAGAGGAATGCTGCCTAACTTGATTTCTCCATCTCTGGAGTTGTATGTTTCTAGGTTGTGCAGTTGTATTATCTCTGCTGTGTACAAAGGAGGTGGCTGCCTTGAATCACAGCATTCAGAAGCATAAAGAGTTTTTCAATCCTTAGTTGAATCTGAGGTTACCTGCAGTGGGTTAATATGGTAACTACAAAAAAACCCCCAAAAAACAGCATTTCAAATGCTAACACAGTTGTGAAAATGCCACAAGGTCCTGTCTGCCAGCTCAGATGATTACCGCATGTGGATGTGTTGATTAAGAGTTACCATTTTTATTCTGTGAGGTTGGGTTTAATTCTTGTAATCTATTTTATCTGAAGAGATTTCTGCATATATGGATATCCAGGCCTATGTGGAAAAGCTGAAACAAGCTGAAAAGAGATACGTTTGCTTTGCTTTGTAAAAGGCTATTTAAAAGAGAAGTTTTTCTTAGACTGCTGTCCTCAACCTGCTGTGGGTTGTTATTGAAAGCCTTTTGACTCTCCTCATTTTTATGAGTCTGCTGAACAGCACCATAAAACCAAAGTCAATAATCAAACCATGTCAAACATACTTGCCTGAGTCAGAAGTCACATCCTGAAGAAAGGAGAGATGGGGAGTGGTAAGAAATGAGAAGTGATACTTCTTCCCCCCAACCTCTTATCTCACCCCAATTGTGTTGGATTGTAATGGAGCAACTATAAGGTTTTCTCCAGAATCTTTAGCTGCAACACACCCACGTTGTCACCACATGAGTTACTACAGGGACTGTATTAGTCTTCAGGTGTCAGTCTTTGGTCATTACAAGAGGCACCAAAACAGCAGCATTTTGGAAGACCTATTTTCACCCAGATATTTGCAAGGTCTCAACCACATCAATGTAATGTATGAATTTGCACAATGGAACCAATGAACTTTCCCACAAATGTGGGGTGGCACAAATAGTGTGATCTTTTTTCTGAATATCATAAATCAGAAACATTTTTTTCACTTGCAAAATGCTTCCAAGGAAATGGAAATGCCATGATTTTATGAGTTGGCACTTGGATGCTGGCAAAGGCTGGCCTGGGATACACTAGCAATCAGACTGATCAGAGTCAGTGAGGCTCTCTTACCTCTGGAGATTTGCCTGCAAAATCAATACCAACTGGTGATGAGGGATAGGTCCCTGCAGCAGCACTGGTCTCCACACAGTGCGGGTTAGCTGAGGAGCTCCTCATTGTAGGATTATGTATAGACTAAACTTTGCATAGGTTCAAGAAACAACTGGACTGGTTTGTAGCAGAGAAAAGCTACTGAGTGCATTTTAGTGCAAAGACACCACTTGCAGGTCAGACACTCCACAGCACTGGACATCATACTCTCATCCTCTTGTGTTGGAATGTGCTAGTGGAGAAAGGATGGAGTCTAGATATAGTTGTTCTTGTGTTCCCCACCCCACCAGAAAACCCAAGGCAAACTCCCAAGGCTGGTTGAGAAGGATGGGGTCCCACCTGCCACCTGACCAGCAGCTGGGATCTCGCACAGCTCCACTGTAGCCAGCAAAGGATGACCCAAATAGCTGGAGCAGTAATACAAGCCCCACTTCCCAGGAGGACCTGGGAGCCTCAACCTTATTTTCCCTCCTCAGAGAGTAAAACTGGCCATATTATCTCTCTTCAACCTCCTTTCAGGGTGACATTTCCACATGACCTTCATTTGGGCCATGTCTGTGGCCATCATGATGCCACATGTCTGTGCTGTTTGTGCAGGTGAGCTGGGTTTGACACCACTCCTTACAAGGATGTGCCACACTGGGTGTGAAGCAAACATGCCCTTCTGAAATAAGCCTCCCTGTTTGTCAAAACCAGCCTTCAAAAATGTCTGAACCAGCCTCCTGAGCACGCTGATGCGGAGAGAGCATGAGTGGCACTGACACCAGGAGGCAGGGCTATAGCAAGGCTTTTTTGGGGTCAAGATCAGATGCAGATGCTCCCAGCTAAATACCCAGCTTCAAAGGCATCCCTGGGCTGTTGCCATGTGCAGCATTAGTGCCAGAGGCATGCATGGCTTTTGCCTCTGCTCTGGATAAGCCAATTTATCCCATGCTCACCGTCTCTCCCACTTTCACTTGCAGGTCTTTGGGGGCCTTGTCTGGATCCTGGTGGCATCCTCGAAGGTCCTGTTACCCATCCTGCAAGGCTGGGTGATGTTTGTCTCTGTGTTCTGCTTCGTCATGTCCATCACCCTCCTGTGCCTTTACGTCTGTGGGGCGCATGGGGGCAGCAGCTCCTGGGTCACCTTGGTAAGTGGATGTGACAAACCTCACGGCCTCTCACCTCCCTGGTATCACTGATAGACAATTGTCTCCTTTGCTGCTACTGCACTCCAAATCGCAGGCTGGGGCTTGCTTGTGTGGGGTCCTTTTTTTTTTTTTTTTTTTTTTTTCCCCCTCATTGCAGTGTGCTCCCTCCTTGTAAATGACTGTGTGATGCTTGTTTCTTAGGATGTCATGTGCCAGGAGACAGCAGCTGTGTTCTACCTCAGTGCTGCTGTGCTGGAAGCCTACTTCACCTTGTGGTCTGCCGACCATATGATAATGTCCGTCTATCAGGAGAACATTGCTGCTGTGGTGAGTGCCTGGCAAGCAGGGGCAGGAAGGTGAGGAGGTGACTGTGGAGTGGCCTCAAGGGCAAATCTTTAATTGCACCAACCATTCAGAGAGGGGGAGAGAAACTAGTTCCAGTCCTACTACACATGAATGTCTCCAAACGTGATAGTCAATAGAAATATAATGCATCACAAAGTGTTTGCTCAGTACAGGAACTCATACCATATAATAAAAAGTTAACTGGCTGATGTTTTTCCATTGTAGGTATTTGCATTCTTAGCTACCCTGGTGTACGTGATCCATAAGGTGTACTCGCTCCTGCGATGGAAATCATCCTAAGAGCCTCCCCTTGCAAGTGCGTCTTCTGGTCACCCCATGAACATGAAAGTTATTCAATGACTGCAGTTTCCAGGCTGGGTTTGGTGTTTGGTTTTTAACGTATATACTATAAACAAGCAGCTTTTTATGTGGGACCATAGCAATGAAGACAAAGAGCCTGCCAGAGAAAGCTATATCCTGGCACAACCTGTTTCCCTTCAGTCTCTTCCGGGTTGGGTACAGTTTTATGCTGATAATTTGGGCCCAAATAGAAAACCATCCAGCTTTGAAAAGAATAATATAGTTGGCTCAAAGTGCTAAAATCTCCTTGAATCAATGCCTCCAGGTTTGTTATTGTTCAGACTTCTCCTGATAGCAATCAGCAGTAAGGGGCTCGAGTATGAAAATGGGTCATTTTAATCGCCACCCCTCCATGTAAGCCTGTTTCCCTCTCTAAACCTGCTGTGCCAAAAGAACGTTTTCATGCAGTTTGTGGAAGTGTCATCTCTGACTTGTGATGGGAAATGGGGACAATATTTAACTTGCCTCAGGGGCAATATGAGTTATTGCAACCCCTGAAGGGTATTGCTGAATTATGCAGCACAACCATAATGCCAGGAATTACCGCTGTCATTAATCCCCCTACAAAATACAACTTAGAAGGAGCATGATAGACCATAGGAAAATTATATGCATGATTAGAATAACATCTTAAATAAGCAGAGGCAATCAACTCTTGTCTTTGGTACGTGGCTGCTCTCATATACACCACCACTATATCACTAATGAAGATGGGTTTGCTGTGATTTTGCAAATACACAAGAGTCATTGGTGGTATTTTCCCTTTGCTGCACACAGGTACTCAGCCCTGTACAGACTCAGGAGCATTGCACTGTAACAGGTCCATGACTAAGGAGGAGGCATAGACTTGGGCATGAATGAGAGGGCATTTCTGGCAAGGGGAGCCTGTGGGGCTCTGTAGTCAGGGTCAGGGGTGAAACCAACTCATCACCAATGATGTTCATCTGCATGCTTAAATTACTCCAGTGTTAACTTGAGTGACTCTTCTGGTTTTGGCTGGGATAGAGTTAATTTTCTTCATAGTAGCTAGTATGGGACTGTGTTTTGGATTTGTGCTGAAAACAATGTTGAAAATTCAGGGATGTTTTCATTACTGCTGAGCAGTGCTTACATAGAGGCAAGGCCTTTTCTGCCCCTCACACCACCCCACCAGCAAGTAGGCTGGGGGTGCACAAGGAGTTGGGAGGGGACACAGCCAGGACAGCTGACCCCAACTGACCAAAGAGATATTCCATACCATATGACATCACACTCAGCATGTAAAGCTGAGTGAAGAAGAGGGAATGTTTGGGGTGATGGCATTTGTCTTCCCAAGTAACTGTAACACATGATGGAGCCCTGCTTTCCTGGAGATGGCTGAACACCTGCCTGCCCATGGGAAGTGGTGAATGAATTCCTTGTTTTGCTTTGCTTGCGTGGCTCTTGCTACACTTATTAAACTATACTTATATCAATCCATGAGTTTGCTCGCTTTCGCCCTTCTGATCCTCTTCCCCCATCATGCTGGGGGTGAGGGGGTGTGAGTTAGCGGCTGTGTGGGGCTTAGTTGCTGGCTGGGGTGAAACCATCACAGTGAGTTAATTTAAATGCGGTTTAGACCCAAGAAGGGGTATTTTCACATGTTAGAGGTGCCTAATAAACTGTTGTACCAAATTAGCCCTTCCAGCTTGTGTGGCAAAAAATGCTTCCACTCTGAGTCTCAAGTTCCTGGGTAATAGAAGGGAAATAAAAGTTGACTTGGAGGCACCTCTGTTGCTTCAGATCCAGGGGGGACTTTTGAGCTGGACTATGGGTTTGGGTTGAAGCTTTTTAATTGCAATGTCAGGAAACCATTTGTTATTTTTTCTTGTTATTTCCTTGCTGAAAACTAGCCTGACCTGTTTTGCTTGTGTTAGTGTGACAAAAGCAAGCTGATTGCAACAGAAGTGGAAAAAGAAACCTCTTTTTAGAGCAGGGAGGAAACTCACAGCCACTTTGGACAATGGCACTTGGTTCTG